AGTTATTCGCAATCTTCCTTGACAATTCCTGCATGTCTGTTAGTTTCTTCGTGTTTGTCTGCCGGTATTTTTATTTTTTATTTATTTTGAAAAATTTGGTAACTGAAATTATTTTTAGGTACACCTACCAGTTCATATTCAGCTCAGTTCAATTATGAACGTAAGCACATTGTACACGTGTACATAGAGGGTGTCCGTGAGTAAGGCACCTGCACTTCATTTGTTTGGGCACTAATGGCCGACATTTTGAACATCTCCAATAAGAACGGCCTGATGGTTTCTGTACTATAATTTCCGCTTGTTACTGTTGTTTCATGATATTCATGTGGGCGAAACAGTCATTTTTGAGCCGTAGCTTACCTTAGATGATTCTTCCAGGTTGCATCCTGTAATTGTTCCTTTGGATTTCCCAAAATTTTTACAGAGCAGAGTCGTCAAGTGATTGAATAAAAATTTATATTAGGCCCACCTTAAATATGCTATTTACTCATGCGTGACGTTAGTCTGCTATAAACATACCCCCACCGAAAGATTTTCTTTTCCAAGGGGAGGGGACAGGCAAGAAATGTGCTCACAAGCACGTTTAAACCGTTTAGGATTATTTTTGCTAACTTAAAATAAGCTGGTATATTGGCGGTTTCCTTTCTTTCTTCAGTCTTGAGCTTTTAAAAAGTCACCGGGGTGGCTGCAAATTCTTTGTTTTCTTCCCTGCTGCTGGCATCGTCTATGGCTGTAAATTTAACTGATTATCAAATTCAGGGCGATAACAAGACTTGGAACAAAAATTTTGATGGAAATCAATTAAATACTGTTTACCATTTTAATGTTAGTGATTCTCTCGAATTGGCCGTGTTTTTTGCAAATGTCATATAATATACTGCGTGTATGGTTTATTCATTCTTGTGACCTTTATACAGTAAATCGGTTTCTCATTCGAATACTTGATGTACACGTTTCAAAATATATTCAAGTCTTTCAGTATTGAGGGCCTTAAAATCAACTTAAGTGGACGGAAGCGTACACAGTCACACTTGTATAATTTAAGAACATGGATCAAATCTCATCAAAATCTGTCACAGAACCACAGTTACACGTAAATACTAATTTATGCAGTAAGTAACGAGACCCTTTTATGTTATGTTAGTGGGGTGGGACTAAGTCCCTTGCACTGCGGCCACTTCTGGCATATTGTACCAGCCCCAGATGATAGGTGAGGGTGATTGTGGAGCAATTGGTGGAATGAAGATGGGCAGGGAAAACCGAAGTACTCTGAGAAAACCTGCCCCAGCGCCACTTTGTCTACCACAAATCCCACTTGACCAGACTCGGGATCGAACCCGAGACGCCGCGGTGGAAAACCACCGGCTAACCGCTTGAGCAATGGCACGGCCTCAACGAGACCCTTAAAAATGAAGAAGCTACAGCGGAATAAAACAAAATCCTGATAAAAGTTTGTATTGGTCTATGAAACCCAGTTTGATTAACACAGGCAAGGCAGTGTGAGCGCTGATACATTCAGACAGACGGATGGACGTGATGAAACTAATAGGTAGGTATGAACGCACCAAAGGCGTGTGATCGTCCTTCAGTGCTTATCACACTACATTCTGTGGCACATATAAAGCATGTCAAAAGTTAATTTTCATCAATGTACAGATGGAAAGTGTTATAGGGTGTGTTAAAAATGTGCTGAAACAAAGAATACTGTAACAGTGTATACCACTGTGTTGTGCCCGGATAGGGGTCAGTGACTGTACTCACCCCCTATCGGACGTCCGTGGATATCTCTTAACCTATGCTGTGGAAAACATGCTTGCACTGGGGGAATCCACAAATAATTCGAGTACTCACCAAAAACAATAAATTTAGGTATAATAAAACAAAAACTCTAGTACATCAAACAACCTGGCTATACACACAGAACCTTCGATTACACCCCTGGTTTTAAATTCCTACCTTTTAACTGCCCATAATATACTAACCCTAAATGACACAAATCAACACTTTGTATTTATTTCTCAAATCACCATTGAACCAAAAGCTCTAATCAGCAATCAGTGACCCGACCACGGGCAAGTACTCACTCGCGCTGAACAGAACGCACAAGAAGAACACTGGCGCAATCCCAAGGTTTTCTCCAGGCACACTTGGATCTACCCGTCCGTGTCTCGCAACTGCTAGAAACGGAGTGCCTGAAACGGCCTGTTTTTTTTTCCAATCCCAAAATTCAGCTCTTTTCCCCAAGTCCCGAAAGCTGCGCGCGCGAAATCCCTGAGGTCGGCAACTTGCCGGACATGCCTTGTCGCGCGAAGCGAAACCTGACCGGGTCTTTCCACTGATGCGTAAACAGTCTTCTAAAGACAATTCGATCGACCGACAAGGAATGCGAAGAGTCAGCCACGGCTCTGTCTCCTCGCCTTCCGGCCAGCCGTCTGGCGTTTTAACCTAAGCATCCAATCTTACAAAAATCGTACTTAATAACTAATGAAATGGGCACAACAACTGACATGAAATCATATGCTTCGTTTGAAGTCAGTTTTTTCAGACTACATAGCTAATCGTTTGAAATTAAGCGGAATGCATCGTTCTTTGGCCAAACAGGATAAATGCTAACTTTGTTTCTTGGTAAATATATTATTAGTGCTTCGCCATCGCTATTGAGTATTCAGTTGTTCAAGAAGTTCTCTCTTTATAGAACCTGAAGGATCCTCATTCATCGCCAAATCCCTCCATTACACTGTACAACAAGTCCAGGAATATTAAATTAATTCTTGCATGAAACATATCACATGCGCACTGATGGTGACTCAATGGTCTTCCATTTACATGACAGGCCCACTTTTGTAATATCCCACGCTATGGTGAAGCCAGATTGTTAAGGTAAACACAGAATTGGGTATAAAAAGGCAAAATTGTCGCTGTGCTGAAGTAATTAAGCACTATACAGTTAAGACGTATGTGAGAGTGGTGCACCTCGGCACTAGTTGGAGCTGAGTGGTCAGCTTCATGCCCCGACCGCTTTGCTCTCGGGGAAAGAGCCTACGGTACCCATTGGATAGGAGGCTGGGTGGACCACAGAGCAGGTCTGCACAACACAGGAAGTTAAAATTCTTGCCCCCACCGGGACTCAAATTCCTATTCCTTGGTTGTTCAGCCCTTAGCCAGTTGCTATATCGACTGCGCTATCCTGGCTGTATACACAGGATTTGGTTCTGTTTTCAAATTATAACCCTATAATATGCATACTCGGACACAATAACAGACTAGTTGTAGAAATTAGCAACCGACCATAGTAATCATCGGGGAATACCACTGCAATCAATTCCACATAAAAATTTTATCGAATATTTTTCTCTCAAGGTTAAAAATCCGCTTAGTGAAGGGTGGAGTCCAATTGGGTCCACTCGGCACGGCGGCCACTGATTGGCCTATTGTACCTGCCCCGGGTGATTATGATGATGGAGAATTTTGTGGAATGAAAATTGGCAGGGGAAACCGAAGTACTTTGAGAAAACCCACCCCAGCGCTACTTTGTCCACCACAAATCCCACTTGATCGAACCCGGGCCGCCGCGGTAGGATGCCAGCGACTAACCACTTGAGCTATTTCGCGGCCTCTCTCAAGGTTAAGTCCATCACTCTCTCATGGAGCTGAGCCCTTCTTAAGAAGCTGCCGATTGTGCAGTCACTCAAGAACTTGCCAGGATTTTATGGAACCGGAAGGTTCATTACCGTGTTCACCAGAGCCCTCCACTGGCCCAGAACCTTTTGTCTTCTCGTCTGCTGTCCAAAAACATAAAAATTACAATATACAGAACTATAATTTTGCCTGTAGTTCTGTATGGGTGTGAAACTTGGTCTCTGATATTAAGGGAGGAACATAGACTGCGGGTGTGTGAGAACAGGGTGCTGAGGAGAATATGTGAACCGAAGAGAGATGAAGTGACAGGAGGTTGGAGAAAACTGCATAATGAGGAGCTTCATCACATGTACTCTTCTCCAAATATAATTAGAATGACCAAGTCAAGGAGAATGGGATGGGCAGGGCATGTAGCACGAATGGGGGAGAACAGGAATGCATATGGGTTATTGGTGGGAAAGCCAGAAGGAAAGAGACCACTGGGAAGACTAAGACGTAGGTGAATGGACAATATTAAAATGGATCTTAGAGACAAGATGGTATGGTATGGATTGGATTGATCTGGCTCAGGATACGGACCAGTGGAGGGCTCTTGTGAACATGGTAATGAACTTTCGGGTTTTCATACTATGCTGTGAAGTTTTTGAACATCTGCACAATTGGCAGCTTCTCAGGAAGGACTCAGCTCCATGAATGAGTGAGTCCATAATTTGATTGGGTTTCATTGTATGCTTACTAAATATGAATTTGCTTTGTGAGACCATGGTGAAGAAACTCGTTAAAATCGAGTGATCCCATGAAATAATAGAGAATTTGAACACAACTAAGCTAACGACACCGGAATTAGTACCATAAAATGTAAAACTTGTAAGATGCAAGATAGATATCACTTAGTACTACTGAAACCTATAGCAAAATTGATATTTAAAAGTATTTTGCACCATAAAAATATGGCAAAATTGAACCGTGAACAGTCGTATTTCGGATCTGTAGCAATTAGTAATTCGTGGTAGTTAGTATTCCGTGGCGGTAGACATTTTGAGAAACTGAGGCCGATCTCTTTGGCCGTGGGGTCTACTGCTTTAAAATTTGGGAGGAATCATTCGTTGGTGGCCCTAGTGATCACCAATATATTTCACGAATTTGTAAATCAGCTATTTGTAATTTATAAAAGCTAAAAACATGGAAATAATTATTTATGTACTTTCGAAATCATTAGTCATTTCGTGGTCTAATTTGTAAAATACCATTCTTTATTTTGAAGATTCATGATATCCTTGCAAAGTGGTATAGAACCCGTCTCTTACCATTGGTGCATTACCGTCGGCGGGTATTTCGTCTGCGTATGCAGGAGCCAATGAAGTACGATTTCTCCATTAATTCCGTAGGCCTCGTTGGCCAAGTGAGTGGACGTTGTGGATGGCACATGGTGTTTGGAATTGGATAGTATGGATCATATGGCTCATGACATGTAATTGATGTGTAGGACTAAAGAGTGTAATTTTTTCACATTCTGCGTAGATGGTGCAAGTTCTGATAATGAGCCATGAGAGTTGACCCTAGATTTATGGTAACTATACTATTTTAGTGTGCGCTTCGAGCAATAAGTTTCATAACCTTGTGCATAGCGTGAATTAATTTTTTTTCGTTGAAACAAAGTTTTCAAGTTCATGCGCTGTTGTGTCTGGGTCTGATACATCAAAACCACCTCGTACTTAATGTTTTATTGCGGTAGAACAGAGTTTTGTAGGTTGTTACTACGTTTCAGAGCAAGAACGCAGTAAGTGTTCTTTTCACTGTATTGAGTTGTTTACGAACATCCCTCATGCAATTTAATTACATTAGATTTAATGCAGTATACATATTTAGCTACCAAAGCCTGTAGTTAAAATAGATAATTTCACATTCATTAATGTTCCTCATATGTACCATTAACTTGCGGTACAAATTACATTCTTAGTCTTATGCTTTGTCACTGTTCCCAGTAACTGAAATTGTTTACACTGAACGTGTTTTCGTTTTGACCCCTACTTAGACATCCAGGGCATGTAATATACATGGGGGAGAAAAGGAATGCTTATGAGAGCTTTGTGATAAAGTCAGTAGAAAGAGTCCACTAGGAAGAGATAATCATAGGTTGGAAGATAATATTAAAATGGACCTTAGAGACAGGATAGTCATAGGTTGGAAGATAATATTAAAATGGACCTTAGAGACAGGATAGTCATAGGTTGGAAGATAATATTAAAATGGACCTTAGAGACAGGATAGTCATAGGTTGGAAGATAATATTAAAATGGACCTTAGAGACAGGATTGGGAGGTATGGACTGGATCAATCCAGTTCAGGATAGGGACCAGTGGAGGGCTCTTGTGAACACGAGTAGCTTAGCAACTGGCAGCTTCTTGAGAAAGACTCTGCTCCATGGAGTTACTTAGGCAATCAATAAGTTCTGATCAAATGTCATGTTGAGATGGAAATCACTCCTACTTTGTACTGGGGAGAGCCCACAGTCAAGTTACTTCAGGCCACAACCACTGTCATATTCATTCAAATCCACAAATAATCCTGCCATTCAGTGCCACTAGAGTGGGAGACCAAGTCTCTTCATTCTTGAGTCTCTGGGTCCAATGTACCAGCCCCAACTGACATGAGAGAAATAAAGTGTTTGGTGGAATAAGAATTAATAAGGGAAACCAGAGTACAAATACAAATTGAAACTATGTGACATCATTTTAATGCACATAACTAATGTAGACCAGTTTTGACCAGTATCATTCACTTGAATGCAGAATGCTTGCTTCACTATTGAGAGAGGCAAGGAGAAGGGGGAGTAGATTATTGCATGGACAGCGAAGGATGAATGAAAATGGAGAAAAATTCAGCTTGACTTCTGCAGTTTCTACCTGTGCAACTTTTTTTTGAGCACAACTGTCACTCAAATCCAGAAGTACCTGTACTTGGAGAAAACCTGCCGCAGTGCCTCTTTGCCCAAAATAAATCCCACATTAGCAAACCTGGAATTGAACCTGGGCTTCTGAAGTGAGAAGCCAGACTAATCATCTGAACTTTTTTTATTCTGTGTCATCTGAACTACTACTGTGTCATTAAATGAGTAAATAAATAAATCCATTGTGTTTATTGTGGCTATGAAACATGACATCACTGTGTCCAAGTAAAATGTAATGCTGTGTGGCTTGGTATAACATATACTTCACCAGTTTTAAAACATATCTGATTGCTATGAAAGCATTCTGGAAACCCAGCGTATAATACTGACATTTGGGTATATTTAACGTTGTACTAATTCGTATGTTACAGCGTTTTATTCATGTCTCATGTGAGAAAGATATATATACATGTTTGCTCTGTGATTGGTGTAGACTGGGTACGGGCCTGATTTTACCTTGAGGTTGTGCTTGAAGCAAAATACGCATTACGATAATGGTAACCCACGCCCCTGTCATGAAACTACAGACACAGAAGTGGGTCTGAGCTCACTGGGAAAGAAAAAGGATTGATGTCTAGTGAAGGAGATGTGGACTGTAGTGGAGCTTTGTTATGTTATACTGCAACGTCCTGTTGCACTGTGTGTTCTGAATTAGCAGTCGCAGTTCACACCATCCCTATGCAACTTCGCCAGTGTATTAAAATCCACGCTTCAAAAGCATTCATCTCTTCTTGTTATTCGAACATTACGTGTTTTGGCCTGACCGGCCAACATGAGGGGTACGTGTTATAGAGGAAACTGCTGCCCAGTTGTAACTCTGCTACATTTTGCATTTTAAAGTCATAAAATGTCAGAGTTTAGTTATTTTGCACATTCTGGCAGAGGTGAAATAGTTGAGCTGTGTACACAAGAATTAGCATATAGATCCAACCAATAATTGAACATAGTACCCTCTGTGACTTTCCAAGAGGCTACCAGATCTGCTACCAATGAAGTACAATTTTTATACTTGCTGATATGGCTAAACTGCACCAGTGGTCAGGGTTTTGAGATCAGTCATCCAATGCAGATATATCCACACCCCATAATGTCTGACAGTGTGATGTGGCTAGTACCTGGTGCGAACTATAATTTGGATTTTGCATCAAGGTGTAGGTCACCTCCACCAGCAATCATCACTAATTTGCTATTAGAGCAAGCAGAGTCCTGCCCAGTTGGCTATTCCACCTAAGAGCTGATTCCATCTTCCTTGCTAGAAAGTTAGCGAAAAGGAAGAGGGAAGGTATCAGAATGAAAAGAAAAGACTTTCTATATCAGATATTTCATTCTGTTTTCATTTAATTTTTTATTCATTCTATAGATGAAATATGTCGTGGGTTGTAGAACAGTACAGGAAGCGGCCTCCATAGTCTAGGGGTAACGTTCCCACCTCATGACTCAAGGTACGTGGGTTCAAACCTGGCGGAGGTCATGGAATTTTTAAGGGCGGAAAAATTCAGGGAATAAGTCCTCCGGGAGGGACTTTAAGCCGTGGGTCCCGTGTCTTAGATTTACGGCACGTAAAAGATCCTCATGTTTCTAGGAGACCTCTGAGCAAAATTAGGCAACAATTTCCCTCCCAAGTAGTTTCCAATGCCTCTGGTAGAGGGGGAAATATCAGGTACCAACGGCCGACCTAGTTGGCTGAACGGGGCTGATAGCACACACCAGTACTGGTAGGGTATGGCAACAGTAGAAATTAAAGGGGGACGCACAATGGACCAATAACTGGTCTAAGTGCATGGGGAAACCCACCCCCTCTAATAATAATAATAATAATAGAACAGTACAGGAGGGCTGGCCATTTATGCATGTTTCTTTACTTATATGTGTAGAACTATTGTTGATTGTTCTTATAACTTAACATTTCAGCATAAGATAAAGTCTCTGCTGAGTGTGACAGTAGGTGCATTTGGTGCCTTTTCTGCTGTAAGCATCTACAAAGAAAATGAAAAATTCTTTGACAGCATTTTGATGCCACTTGTGCATACCCTAAATCCAGAGACATCCCATAAAGTTGCTATTATTGCTTCAAAGTATGGACTTTTTCCAAAAAGCTCATATGAAGATCCATCAGCACTGGTAAGATATTCATCAGTCTCTTACTATTCAGTCATCTAAGCTGTGAGGTTTGAGTTCCTCACAGCCGTGACTATGAAGGTTACTTTGTTCTCAGATGTGATGTTGTGTAGTGTGTTAGATATTCATGAACATTTCAGAGGAACATGCTGCCTCCATCTTCAGGGTAGAAGAGTGAATTTTGTTAGCACGCGGTAGCGTAGTTGGTTGAGGCACTATGCTACAAGCAGGAAGGTCACGGGTTCAAGTCCTGATGAGGTCATTGGATTTTTTCAGTTGACCTAATCCTTCCAGCTGCACTATGGCCCTGGGGTCAACTCAGCCTCTAACAGAAATGAGTACCAGGAATTAATTAAATAATTTTCCTGGGGAGTAAAGTGCGGCTGGCGCGTAAGAAACTTGCCGCCATCTTTGAGCAACGTCTCACAACCCAATGGGCCTTCACGGCCCGTTACAGGGATAGCTTTACTTACTTTTACCCTTTGTACATCAGTTAGCTTAAATCAGCATACTTGCATTAAAATTGGCAGAGCCAAAGACTGGGGCTTGATGTGAATCGCTTAGTAGAGCATTTCTGTCAATAGTTGATAGCATATGTCAGTACTGGAGGCAAGAAGAAGCTTTCACGCGAGATACATCTATTGTCAGTTGAAGATAATCTCCTGAAGGATTGTGTGTTTTTGCATGCAAGGGTGTCTATCCCACACATTCTTGGAGTTGGTAGCAGGTAGTTCTGTAGTGTAGCTTGGCAGTGAAAGGTTTGTATTTTCTGTGACATGCCCATATCTTTTTTTTTTTTTTTTTTTGCTTTTTTATATATGCCTGATTTTTTATAACATGCGGATGCTTGGTAATAAGCATGACGGTCTGTTGTACAATTTTAATTGCAGAAAACTCAAGTTTGGCAGCTGAATTTTAAAAATCCTATAGGAATTGCTGCTGGTTTTGACAAGCAGGGAGAAATAATTGAACCTCTTCACAAGATTGGGTTTGGGTTTGTAGAGATTGGCTCAGTCACTCCAGTCCCACAACCAGGAAATGAAAAGCCCCGAGTGTTCCGCCTTCAGAAGGATGAAGCCGTGATCAACAGGTGAGGGATGGATATTTAACTAGAAATACATTAATTTATTAAGAAAATATTGTCAATCATTAAAATTAATACCTAGCATTAGTTCTTCCCATACTCACCTTGAAAAATACAGACATCACTCTTCCCCCTGGCAGCCAGGATTTCTGCAGTCAGTGTAGTGACTGGGCTATGGGGTGAACAAAAAATATAACAAGGACATACAATTGGAGGGTACTTTTTGTATGATACATAGCTTGAAGTAAATCCTCAGAACAACAGGATGTCGCAAAGCAGAGTGGAAATCAATTTTGTACAAGGGTAAAAAAATACAGTCATGTGGTGAACCGTGGTTCTGAAAAGTTTCTCAGGTGACTGTTTCCTCACACAGCATTTGGGAGTTCACTTTTGAAGTTACAGCAGTCTCTTTTGATCATGTGTGTCATAGGAAAAACCACACTCAAAGATGTAAAGCTCAAGGTAACTGGTAAATGGTGATAATTAATCTCTTTTCTAAGCTCACTTCTTTTATCATAACCTTATGACTAGTCTGCTTGCATGTAGGATAGCAATACAGCAACAGAAAAAATAAATATTGTGTGTCAAATCGGGACAAGGGCCATAGCAAGGTGCCAGAGAATACTGATCCTGCAATTTGGTGACCAAAGTATTTGTCTGGCTGCTAGATTTTCAAAAGCCATTGACACTGCTGCCATAGATATGTGGCTCAGTTCTAGTAGTAAATAGATGTAACATATTAAGCTTTCTTTTACTGCAGTATAGAAACTGATCCTTATTGGAGAAATGGTTGTACAGTCAGTTCTCACTTATGTGGGACAGAAATCCTTAGGGCATATGCCTATAGAAACTAAACAAGGTGCTTGTGAGAAACTTACACTTCTGCTCACAAGCACGCAAATAAGTAGACATGGGGGGAAATTGTATTTCCTTTCACAACAGACAGCTGAGGCAGATGGTATGATAATATATACGAGGGGGGACCCAAAAATAACCGGAAACGACCTGTTGCGCGCGCATGCTTTGTAGTTACGAGTTGTGCTGCTAGGTGGTGTTAGCTGGGGGTCTCCCGCGANGAAGGTTTGCACATGAGACGGGTGTCTGCAAAATTTGTTCCTCGCTTGCTCGGAGATGACCAAAGAGAAAACCGCGTGAATGTTTGCCGCGACTTGAAGAGTGAAGTGCAGTTTTCCCTAACAGAAAGCAAAATTTCACGCACACTCTTTGTTCCTTCTGATCGACCATCTCACTAATCGCCAAAGGGATGAAACAGGAATGCACACAACAGAGCACCACAGACAAACCACTTAACTCAGACTGACGCCAGCTCACTAACAGTCGCGGGAGACCCCCAGCTAACACCACCTAGCAGCACAACTCGTAACTACAAAGCATGCGCGCGCAACAGATCGTTTCCGGTTATTTTTGGGTCCCCCTTCGTATAAATTATGTGTTCTGGTAGGAGAGAAATCTTCAAAAAATTCAGAGAAGCATCAGAAGAAACATAATAAAACTGGGTTCAGGAAAATTGAACAGAAAGTAATGGAAATGTTGCAACTTGGTGATTTGTTAGGTATGGTTTCAACAGTGATGGCCATGAAGCTGTCTACAATCGACTTCAACTTCTTAAGGCCAGCACGTCATTTTTAGGCATTATTGGAGTTAATTTAGGAAAGAATAAAAATTCAGATGATCCTGTCAGAGATTATGTGGATGGCATAAAGAAGTTTGGAGATGTTGCTGACTATCTTGTAATAAACATATCTAGGTAAGGAACTCTTCTTGTTTTAGATCTGTAGCATAATAATATGCAGGGCATGAATATAAACTATTTTCTGATCTGAAAGCATTATGGAAGTGTTAGAAGAAATTAAACCGAAACTGTGTTGTATCTGAGGCTCTTGCAGCCGTGACCGTGAAAGGTACAACCTGCAATATTGTAACAATGTGTAGTCAACGACACTCTTAACTAAAACAAGATTCACTAAATACATTACATACTACAAATATGTTTCATATAGAGTGGAATCTCGCTTAACGAGCATAATTCGTTCCAGAATCTTACTCGTAATGCGAAACACTTGTTAAGCGAAACAGTTTTTCCCAAATAAATTAATGTAAAATACAAGAATGCGTTCCGTGCTGAAAAAATACTAAAAAAATTTTATGTATAACGTTTATGCAAAGAAACTTATATACACATTGTTAAGGAGCGTGAATCGTCTTCATCTTTTCTTCTCTGCGGAATGAACCAACCTGGAATGCGACTTTGATTTGCAGGAAAAAAAAAATCCATAGGAACAACCTATCAACATCGTCGAGAATACATAAACGTTGCTTAGATATTCTTGTCACTCCCTTTGAAGCATCTATCTCCTTAATCTTGTCATTGTTCTTGAGGATAGTGCAAATCGTTGATGTAGACCGATTGTATGTGTGTGCTAGATCAGCCACGCTCACACCTCGTTCTCGCTTTTCAATGATTTTACGTTCCATTTCTACGGTTATTTTTATTCTCTTATGGCTGTCTTTTTGCGGTTTTTTCTTTGGGGACATTTTTGCAAGGGTTATTAAACTTTGCACAAAAAAAATCACAAATAATATGTCTGAACACAAGTTTGGAAAAATGTGTGATCACAAGCGACACTAAGATGTTAGCAGAACGAGTGCCAAACACAGACTGATGTAGCAAGCACATGATCCAGGACTTCCCCCCTCGTCACTTGTTATGCAAAATGTCGCTTGTTAAGAGAGTCATTTTTTTACAGTTCGTTTTTCTCGTTATGCGAATTACTCGTTATGAGAGGTGCTTGTTAAGCGAGGTTCCACTGTATATGTACAGTGTATTTAAAATATTTGTATATGTGTATACTCAAAGTATTTCTGCCTCCTATCCATCTCTTTCCACACACACACTACGTTGTTGATTCTTTGATTAACTCACATATGCACATGTGTGGGACTGTGTATACTTTTTAATTGTGCAAGTAAAGATATAGATCATTTTATGTAATGAAAGATGAACATGGGAAACAACTGTGACTGAGAACAGATCTATTCCAGATGGGAATATAATATTAAAATGGATCTTAAATTAGGAGGTTATGAAAGGGTGGACTAAAGTCAGCTGGTCCAGTGTAGGATCCAGTGGTGAGTTTTGTAAGTGTGGTAGTGAAGGTTTGGATTCAATAAAAGCAGGAAATAATTTGACCAGTGCAGTAACTACCAGCTTTTCAAGGAACACTTTGCATTGTGGAGTTAGTTAATTAAAAGCACAGATGAAGTGATGTTAAAATACTCTTTGAATGCTTGACTGTATAGATGTGAACTGGTTTAGATTGGAAATATTATAGAAATATTATATTTTACGTGGTGCGTTCCATATATAATGCCTCCTATTTTTTTGTGTTAATATGTAACGTCTGAGCTGGATGTTGGTGGTGTTGTAGTAAAGTTTGAACCTTCCCGCCAATATACTGTTAATTTGGTTGTCGTGCGACAGATAGCGACAGCAGAGCAGTCTACCAAAATGGCGTCTGACATAGAAGTGCGTATGAAAGAAAAATGCGTTATTGAATTTCTCACTGCCGAACAAATTGTACCCATTGACATCCATTGACACTTGCTAAAGGTGTACGGAGACAATACAGTGGAAGTCAGCACAGTGATTCGGTGGGTAGTGCGTTTCAACAGTGGCGAAAGTGAAGTGCACGACAAGCCACGCCATGGGCGTCCCTGCTCAGCTGCCACTCCTCACAATGAACAGCGCCTCATCCGAACAGATCAGCAGATAACGACCAGGGACTGTCAATTCTGAACAGTACAAGACGACGCTCACTAAGCTGAAAGCCCATATTTCCCGAGTCAGGCCAGAGAAGCAGACAACCTTTCGCTTGCAACACGATAACGCTAGACCCCATACCAGTTTGGCGACCACCGCGCACATTGCAAAGTTTGGCTGGACTGTCCTACCACATCCACCTTATAGCCCCGATTTAGCACCTTCAGACTTCCATCTCTTTGGTCCTATGAAAGACGGACTACATGGGCAACATTTTCCAGACAACGATGCTGTCATTGCAGCCGTAAGAAAGTGGCTGAAATATTGCTCTATTTAACTGCGTTATTATGATTTCTGTATCTGTTGTAGTTTTCTTCAAAAATAATAGGAGCCATTATATACGGAATGCCCTTAGTAGCATCATATTGTGTGTGTGTGAAATCACAAATCAAATATCTGGTGATGGCTTAATGAGCCCAAAACATTTGTAAGGAACAATGAACATATGGTGTATCCATAACTTCTGTTGTGGTGATGGAATAAAATAAAGAAATTGTTTGGACTGGATGACAGTAAAGTCTCTTTTATCTCCAGAGATACTGATGAAGGTTCAGGTTTTGTATGTAAGAATGTTTTGAGCAGATGAGTGTCTGTCACCTGTTCTGATATTAAAATATTTAACTTCGTTTTTATTTATATTTAAGTCCAAATACCCCGGGATTACGCTCGTGGCAGAAGAAAGAGCATCTTGAAGAGCTGTTGGCAAAATTAGTAGCAGCTCGTAATGAACTCAGAGGACCCAGGAAACCTCCATTGCTGTTAAAACTGGCACCAGATCTCACACAGGAAGAAAGGAAAGACATTGCTGATGTACTGAAAAATAAGAAGGTTAGAAATGCCAATTTAGATTATGCCTAAGAACTTGCATATTTAGTTCGGACATGAACTGTTAATTTTTTCAGTGTGCCTTGCTCTCGTGATTGAGAAGAGTGCAGTGCTTATAAGAAATTTTTTCAGTTTTCCAGGCATCCTGCACCCCTTCATCTGTATATATCCTACACCTTACCTTTGTTCTTTTGTTTCTTATGGATACTTTATATATGTGGTAGATTCATTAAGTTCGTGGAATGTGGTTTTATCGCATCATATTATAAGGTATTCATATATACTTACACAGATCCACATCGGCCCTCAAAATAGTTGCCGTTGGTCGCTATACAAGTCTACCAACGTTTATATAACTGTCGAAAACATGGCTGAAACATATTGGCGGTAAATTCTCATACGACGCTCTACAGCCATTCCACGAACCTATTGACTGTGGTAGTATACTTGTATATTATCAGATGTGTTTTTGAATAGCAGACATTTATTGCTTTGTTTTGCCATAAAGTTCGAAGCATAATAAGATAAAATGATTCATTTTATCACAGTTAACCAGTTCAGAATTACTGGTTTTTTTTTAACTTTGTCGATTGTTCAGTATTCTAAAAAACTAGAAAACGCATGCAGGTGATAAGAAGTAAAAAACGAAAATGTAGATATGCCCAACACACACTAAAAGCTCAACGCACATATGATGCCAGGGACCAAACTATGGAAATAAGCCACATTCAAAAGAAAGACCACTTATGTAACACATGAGAATAATTTCATATTTATAATCTCATCTGATGGAAGCAACAAATGAATGACACTTTTACAGACACAAATAATCCTATATTGGACACAATTCTAAAAATGGAACCCACCTAACAATATGGAAGCAGATTGTCTCCATCTTTCACCCAACCTTCCTTTCCCATTGCGTACCCCTTCACGCCCTGTATACAAAAGCGAACCCTCGGCACACTCTTCAGTCGCTTACCACACCCAATACAAGCTACATCGGGAACACACTACAAACAGGTAATAATGACACATGACAATTAATATACAAAATTCAATAGTTACATCACATCTACATCAAAGTAACATCATAATATATTTTGCATTTCAGAAAATTCAGCCCACATAAAAGCAACCACAGCACATTCACCTCATACACACTAAATACCCATATTCATAGTAAGTATACCACATATGTACTCGTATATGTACGAGTACACCTAATCTGTATCGGTACCAGTAACACAAAAACAGCATCTCCTCCACCTTTCAATGCAGAAAATCAAAAACATACTGATCCACAACAGCGTATATCCGGTACTGCAAACTCTGCATTACTGCATATTAACATCCACACACTCACATGTAAGTAAAAGACTCGGAGACCTAAAGAACTACAAAAAGAATAATATTCCATAAATCTTCCTCCTGCGTATTTCAGATACATGCAGGCAAGAAACAGAGAAGAGTATGGAAATCTTCTAAACATAGCAGCAGTCACACTACCTACAGCTACGCTACTCACACATATACATAGGAATAATACCAGAAATCCACATAAAAATATGAATACACCACTCAAAATACCATTTGATATATTTATGACCTGTGTATATACATTTTATGTATATTTATAACTTTACAAACTGTAGATTTCATATTTTACTACACAAATTAGAAAACTTTAACTGCATTGCCCTAAAACAGATTCATTTTAAACTACATATTCAGCAAAAGCATAATATTCATATAACTATGATTTTACATGTATACACCTGAAGATGGTCAGTCAGCACCAAAACTTGTAGTGTTTTTAATTTGATATAATAAATAGATTGCTTATTGGTACATTCGCTGCATTCAGTTAGTAAATGAAGGCCAAAATATCAAATATTGTGCAATGGTACAGAAAGCTTGACTGTATATTCACAACAGGATGCAAAGCATAAAAATAGAGAGCAACGTTTCAGAAAGTGGAACTGTGAGGGGGAGACACATACTCTGTTGGGCCTCTTAGAAAAAGCAAACCTCAGTTACTGGTCCACTCTTTCTAACAGATTTAACAGAGTAGGCGTCTCTCACCCCCTCACCTGAGGATTAAAACAGATTCAGTTTCCAAATTGTTGTGTTCTGTAGTTCTTTAGAATACCAGATGATGGACGGACAAAGTCCAAAACCCCAGTAATTCTAGGTGTTATACACCATCATCAGAACCTTTCAGAATCTAGTTAACCTGCTGTCGACTAAAATCATTTCTTAAATATGTTCGGCCAGTCTGTCAAAACAGATGTACCATGCCACCCAGACCTTTTTGAGTTCGTTGTGAATATATACCGGTGCTTGATCTTCTCATCAACAAAGGACAGCTTTATGCTATTCTACATTCTTATTTTGGCCAAAGAATGCATTTTATGAGGGAAAGTCAGTAAATAGGTCACAAATGGATGTAAAACAGCTGTAATGGATGTAACAGGTTTTCTACATATTTTCACTAGGTAGCAGCACTGTCCAGCTTCATGACAACCGAAGAGCAGCGTTCTGTTATGCTTTTTTGGTAGGAAAAAGGACTTCATGCAAAGGAATTTCATAAAGAAATATTTTCTGTTTATGGTGCGGAGTGTTTGTCGCATAAAACAGTTCACAACTGGGTCAAGAAGTTCCCTTAAGGGCGAAAGTCACAGATGATGCCTGACAGGGTGTGGAAGTGGCTGAGACAGCAGTCAGAAGTTTTTGGTGTTGTGGTTTTCGACGCACTGGTAACATGATTGAACAAGTGTATCAGTGTTGGTGGAGGATAGGTCAAGAAATAATTTTTTTTCGTGGTTCGAATATTTCATGCTTTACGTTTTATATCCATTTGTGATATATTTACTGACTCTCCCTTGTACTTACTGATATATACCAAAGAGCATAAAAAATTAATATAAGTTGGTAACCTTTGAATAGTTGGTACTTTCTGGCATTTGAATATAGCTGTAAGGGCACGTAGGATGTCATTTAGAACAGTCATTAGGTTAAACTGAAGAACATCATAATTTATGAACAGTAGGTGTGGATATGGGCCGGTCACGGTAGCCAAGTGGTCTAAGGCATGTACTGTCTTCACTTGCTTGGAAACCAGGATCGTGGGTTCGAATCCAACTCGGGGCATGGATGTTTAGTTTGTGTGTGTCCGTTTTTTAGTGTTTGCTTACAGGTAGAGGCCTTGCAACGAGCTGATCACCCACCCAAGGAGTCCTACCGAATGTGTAAGATCCAGAAAAACTGAAGTGAACGGAGAAGTTCATGGAGGTAGGCCTAGGCCCACTGGGGCTGTAGTGCCAAGAGGGGGGGGGGAAGGTGTGGATATGGAAACACAGTCACACATTTAAATGAATAGTTAAAAAGTGTTGCTTTTGAATTTTTAGTTCTTTCTCAAATAAGAGACTTGTAAGGGAACTGTAGTGGTGAAAAGAAAGAAATGTACTCTTCAGGACTAAGAAGCTATCTCTGTTACAGTCCGTGGAGGCCCATAGTGTTGTGCTACGTCAAGACTCCCACATTATCTAGACAATCTGTTCACAGATGTCAGTAAGTTTGTTAGCCTTAGACGCTGGCTGCCCTTTACCCCTCAGGAAGATTCCTGGTACTCATTTCTGTTAGAGGCTTAGTCGATCCCAGGGCGGCTGGAAGGATTAAGTAAAATAAAAAAAAAATCTCATAGGGACTCAAACCCACGACCTTCCAGCTTGTAGCATAGTGCCCCAACCAACTATGCTACTTTGGGACTGACATAAGTTTTTTGACTTACAGTGTTATGTGGATGGCCTAGTGATCTCCAACACTACAGTTAAACGGATGCCAAACCTATCTGACAGGCAGGCAGCAGAAACAGGTGGTCTTAGTGGGAGACCACTCACAGAGTTGTCTACAGCCCTGATAGCAGACATGTACAGGCTAACAGAAGGTATGTGTGCTGTGTGCTGTCTGCTCTTGCATGAGGTCACTCACTGTAAAGTGTTAAGGGAATATTAAATTGAGATTGAATGCACACTCTTCACTATGTCATCTAAATATCTGTGGTTTATCATTTATTGAAGTTTGACTTTTAGAATTTAAAGAAGTACTAGGCAGGTGTGAGCTTGGTAACTAGCAGCTTCTCAAGAAGGGCTCAGTTCTATGGAGTTAGTTGATTCAGTACAAGGAAAGTGTGAACACGCAAGTATCGATATAAGATTTGAAATTATCATGGTGGCATGCATTTTCTGATTGTGGTCTTTTAGGTTGTGACACCGGCTGTTTCCCGACTACCCTCTTTTTGGTCCATAATGGAATTAGAATGGGGCATTTTCTACAATTCCTTTCCACCATTCCTACTGGCATGGACCAGGCTCTCTCTGCCATAGTTGTGAGTGATAACCTTCCATGCAGCATACCAACCAGACAACCATCATCACCATTACTCCAACCTTGAAGATGGAGGTAGCATGTTCCTCCAAAGTGGTACCCACATACAAGACTGCATGGTGTCACAGCCCATAAGCCCACAACCAGAACTAAGCTTCAGAATGTTTATGTCAGTTGAGTTCGAGTTCATACTTAATGTTTGAATATTCATTGCCCAGTTGTACACATGAACCCTTCCACTCTAAGTATAATGCTCAGATTTAATGTTGTTTTGTCCTTCCTAAAATTTAGAGAAGTTTTAATTGGGTTCAAGTGTTCCTGTTCTGCAAGAACTGTACACGAAACACCAATTCTGGTATACTGGTAACAGATTTTTATGAAATGTGATGTGTCTTCTGAACACAGTGTAAGCCAAAGTTATGTTCTTCTGATAATGTCAGTGAATTGGGGCCTAACTGTACTTGCAGACTAAAATAATTTGCAAGAGTATTTCAGTTATCACCATCTAACACTTAACAACTTGGGTCACTTGTTGACCTCTTAGAAAATATCTACCAAAGTCTAAGATGAACTCTCTAATAGGTTTCATAGTTTTGTGGCAACAATAAAGAACACTGATTGCAAGTAGGGTACAGTGAGAGTACACTTTGTTTGGAGATGTGTGAATACAAATGAATGAAAATTCAGAAATTCAGAACCCTATTTAAGGCAAAATCTAACTGGAAAATGTATGTGTATGCACAATCCCAATAAGAATTGTAACACTTAAGACCCATAAGCAAGTTTAGGTACTTTGTGCCTGTCATAAAATACTGTTCTTGGTGAATATCAGGCACTCTATTTATTTATCAGTAACATAAGTATGGTAATTTTAAGACATTTTTGGCCCATGTATTATACAAGTACACTTTTTTTTATTGCTAGTGGGGTGGGACTAAGCCCCTTGTACTGCGGCCACTTCTGGCCTATTGTACCAGCCCAAGATGATAGTGAGGGTGATTGTGGAGCAATTGGTGGAATGAAGATTGGCAGGGGAAACCGAAGTACTTGGAGAAATCCTGCCCCAGTGCCACTTTGTTCACCTTGTTCACCACAAATCCCACTTGACCAGACCCGGGATCGAACCCGGGCCACCGTGGTGGGAAGCCAGCGAGTAACCACTTGAGCTATGGCGCGGCCACAAGTACACTAAGCGTGTATACTGTTAAAGTCTTTGTCTTCAAAGTGAACATTTCAGCTGTAGCTTTGTGACAATTCTTTCACTGGTGCCCTGTAGATCATCTGATCCAACTGCTACAGAATGTTGTCACTCTCACATCTTACAGGGAAGCTTCCCATTATTGGTGTGGGTGGTGTATTTTCTGGTAAAGATGCCTATGATAAGATCAAGGCTGGCGCTAGTCTTGTGCAACTGTACACTTCCTTCATATATCATGGACCACCAAGAGTGTCCCGAGTAAAGCGGGAATTGGATGAACTAATTCGGTAAGCACTTTTAAACTAGGACATAACATAATTTGAAGGAAACGTGTTGTCTTATTTGTTTTGTGAGATATGTGGGTAAATTATCTTTTTTTTTATGTCTCTGTGAACTTGTTTACACTTATTTCTTGTATGCTCAGAAAATACAGAGAGTAACAGTATTGTCCATAATGCAGATAACAATTTAATGCCAATACTTAAGCTCACTGAGGAGCTTCATAATTTGTACTCTTCTCCAATTATAATTAGAATGAACAAGTCAAGGAGGGTGAGATGGGCAGGGCATGTAGCACGAATGCTGTAGAAGAGAAGTACATATAGGATATTGGTGGGAAAGCTAGAAGGAAAAAGACCACTGGGAAGACCAAGATGTAGGCGGGTGAACATTATTAAAATCGATCTTAGAGAGATAGGCTGGGATGGTATGGATTGGATTGATATGGCTTAGGATAGGGACCAGTGGGGGATTCTTGTGAACATGTTAATGAACTTTCGGTTTCCGTAAAATGTTGGGAAGTTCTTGAGTAGCTGCGCAGTTGGCAGAAGAAGGGCTCAGCTTCATGAGTGAGTGACATGAGCTCACTAGAAACAGTGATGGCCATTAACATGGCAATGATATGCACTACTGTAGTGTGAGCAGTCAATCTAATCACAACAGCGCCCATTTTTCTGGTCAAATGACACGTGATGAATAACAGAGCTATGTGGCTGTTCATCCTGACCTTCCACCTATTGCTCTACTCCCTTCTTTTGATATTTGTTCACATGTTATAACTGTTCCATTTGATTATTTTCGTGTAGACATTAGATTGCTCAAACTGTGCATTATCTCACATTTTCTTAATCAGTTTTTAAATGTTAAAATATGAATGTGAAAAAATATGTAACAAACTTTTTCCAAGACTGTTATACTATATGAAAGATAGTGGTTAGTACTCAGAGAAACCATATCTTTTCTTAGAAAATTGAATTTTATGTGTGTCATTCTTCTGTAGAATTTCCACTTAATGTTTATCTCACAGTGTTGTCCTCATTTTTATTTTCTGTTGCCTTGATTTGTCTAAATTTAAAATTCATGATTTTTCTGTGTTTATTTTCAAATTGTTGTCAGTGTTGGTACTTGTGAAAGATGGCTTAATCATCCACTGCTTAGTAGCCATTGTGGTTTTGAAGAGCGCCATTTTGAGTTTATTCTAATGGTGTTAATCAGTGCTGTGTGTGATTTAAGGTTCTCATGGCTGTACTTCTGCTCTGAAGATGAAGGCAACAGGTTCTTCCAAAACTGATAAATATCTGCCACATTTCACAGCATCACATCCCCAAAGACACTAATCTTTAGCATTGTACGAGGGGGGGTACCCAAAAGAAACCGAACTTATTTTTTTTAAACTTATTTATTCAAATTTTAAGCACAAACCTTCAATCCCCTTCAAAGTACTCTCCACTTACACTAATACACTTGTCTAGTTTTTTATTCCATTTTTCAAAACATTGTCTAAATTCATCTTTAGAGATGACAGCGCCTCCGTCATTTTTTCCTTTCATGTCTCTTTTCATTCGAGGAAACAAAAAAAAGTCGCATGGGGCAAGGTCGGGTGAGTATGGAGGGTGAGGAAAAGGGGTCATACCATTTTTTGTCAAGAATTGTCATACAGACAGGACTGTGCGAGCAGGGGCATTGTCATGATGGAAAAACCAGTCACCCGACTGCCACAAATCTGGCTGCTGAGCTCCAAGTCACTCCCAACAGCTCCACAATTTCTTCAATGGTCCGTCGTCGATCTTCCTTGATGATTTCACAAATTTTTTCAACATTTTCATGTGTTCGGGCCGTGGAAGGACGACCAGAACGAGGTTTGTCATCAATTGACATTTCACCATTTTTGAAACGGGAAAACCACTCAAACACTTGAGTTTTCCCCATAGCATCGTCCTTGTACGCGGTTTTTAACATTTCAAGAGTTTCTGTTCCACTTTTCCCAAGCAAAAAGCAGAATTTCACCGCCGCACGCTGTTCACGAAAATCAGCCATTGCAAAAACGACGATCACACAAAAGAGTTGTCACTATAAACTCTGCCGAAACTAGTCCTTACCTTCTGAAGCAATGGTAGTAAGCTTATCGACTCAGGAATGTTATCTCTATGCGCTCATAGCGGTAAAACGCGGTACTACAAAAGCTCTGCCCACAAAAAAAATAGTTCGGTTTCTTTTGGGTACCCCATCGTATGTTTGGGACTTAACCATTTGTTTGTCTTAGAAGTTGGTGTATGACTAGAAATGAATTTAAATATCCACCTGTGTCCAAATACTATTTATGGCATACATAAAAGTGTATTTGGTGGGAACCCATTGGAAACTAGTCAGATTTATAATGAAACAAAAACAGTACTTTAAAGTGAAACTTTACATTTATTTAGTATAGCCAGTAATTTTGTACTAAAAATTTGAATAAAAATTTCTAGTTCCTTCTTGTATAAGGTAAGTCAGTACAATCTGAAAAATTCAGGACTCTGTGTTAAGTAATCATGTGGCCTTCTATGTATACATGCAGTGAGTATTATATTTTACTTTTTGTAATAAATTGTGGATGCATTAGGTGGGTCCCTTCTTACCGTGGATGGAGGAGATGCCCTGCAGGTATGGAGGGAGGCTGCGAATATATTGAATAAGCAGTCGCGGAGACCTGACAAGGGGTGGTCCTCCAGCTTGGGGGTTGGGCGTGGGGCTAACAACTCCTCACCGTAAAAAATGAACTTGTTACGGAAATTCTCAAGAAGCTTTGGACGTGGACAGATCCCTTGGATAAACAACCTAACCTGAAGAAAATGGATATGAGATTTGGTACATTTTAGAGAGATAAGATGGGATGGATTGGATTGATCTGGCTCAGGGTAGGGACCAGTGGAGGGCTCTTATGAACATGGTAATGAACCTTTGGGTTCCATATAATGCTGGGAAATTCTTCTTCTTATGTTATTTCTTGTGTTTTACAGAATTGATGGTTGGAGCTCTGTGGCTGAAGCTGTTGGAACGGGACATTCATCCCAAAAATGAACATCTTATCAGAGAATAACTGACTTGTTTATAATTTCATGTGTTGGTTTTTTATAACTGTTGACTGTTCCTATGTTAATTTGTACATTGTAATAATAATGTAATTGTGAATTTGATTTAGGATCTGCATTCAGCCTGACCAGATGTACCATTTTACTGGAATTATCAATTTTTCCTTGAAATATCCTGTTATTCCTCCCCCAGGTTATAATTTTAAATGGAATACTACCTTAACATATGTCCTGCCAGACACACTGGAAACTGTGTATGCAGTTGAGCTTCATGGCATACGCACTACATTACCCAGTGTTTGTACAGTTCCTCATTTAATATGAACTTCTCTGTTGTGTGCCTGTAAAATTTAAAGGACATTTTCAGAGATTGTAAAGGAAGAGCTGATGATCTTTATCTGAAAGTGACCATAACAGCAGCTTTGGCCCAAAATAAATGCATATGCATGAATGAATGAATGAATGTATAAGGGGTGGGTCTTCTTGGCCCTTGCATCATGACCACAGTGATCTATTGTGCCTCCCCTTCTGATTATCCCCTCAACAATCCTGCACATCGAATGAAGCGTAGGATTTTGTATGTGGGGATGTTGAAATAGTCACTTGGTTCCATTAAGAATATTGACCCAGGTGATGCAATCTTAAATAAGCTAAGGCCTCACATTCGCACAGGATATGTGTGGCTGTTTCATTCTCTTCTTGACACCTCACACACGTTGGACTATTACCTAGTCCCAGTTTGAACAGTTTGAAGAGGTGTCCTTTGAGGTGACAATGCCCTGTAAGTAGTCCTACCACCCATTGTAGCTGGTTCATGTTTAACTTCAACCGTTCCTTCGCTCTTTAGTAGAGGGTCATCATATGAGTCCCTTTGCTTGCCTGAGTTCAGTCAAGGATCCCCACTATTTCTTGTGATTCATATTTGTCCAGTCCCTGATTGCCTGTCTGGCAACTCCTATAGAGATGCCACCGGCTGGTTCAGGTCCTATGAACGGATGTTCAGCTCCAATCTTGGCCAATTGGTCTGCTATTTCGTTTCCAGCAATACCCTCATGCCCCGGCAACCCTTATCAGATGTACCCTGTTATGTTTGGCCAGTTCCATGAGAGTTTGGTGGCAATCCGAGACCAATTTTGAATTGATCTGGTGTTTGTCAAGCACTTTAAGTGCAGCTTGGATGTCAGATAGAATGTAGATGTTCCTATTTCTGTAGTTCCTATCTAGATTCTCCATAATACATGCCTTAATGGCATATTCTTCTGCCTGGAATACTGTCGTGTACTGCCCGAGGCTGAAACTAAGTTTCCGTCTCGTGCCATAGCAGTACACACCAGCTCCAGTGCCCCTATTTATCTTGGAACCATCTGGATACCAGATCAGTCGCCCTTTTCTGTCGGGCTGAAACCAGCCTGTGGTTCTGTGGCCGTTCTGTGGTCACGAGGTTGAAGGAGCATCAGTGGCACACCCGTCTCGAACATCCAGACAAGTCAGTTATTCCAGAACATAACATCGATTTGGGACACCGCATTCAGCTTCAGAATACCTCGCTACCAAGACCTGTTATATGGATCACATCATTAGAGAGGCCATTGAGATTGACCTCCATCCCGACAGTACTAACAGAGAGGTGGTGTTTTGTCTCAGCTAGTCATGGAAGCCTTTCATCTGTTCCCTCAAGTAACCTCCGAAATACTGCAGACATTATAGGCCACTCAGGTCCATCGCAGCCCCCGAGCTACAGGGTTAATGCCCTCCATTTAACCTTCCCTTCTCTCCCCCTAACACATACTCTACCAGCTCTGGCCCACTACCTGCTGGTTATTCCACCAGACCCCCTCTCTCTTATTTCCCTATGTAGCCACACTACACCATGTTAGGTGGGTCCCTGTCACCACGGCATGGCGCGTCCTCAGGTTGCGGATGGAGGGGAGACCCTCCAGTTTTGGAGAGAAGCTGCGAATATATTGAATAAGCAGTCGCGGACAGCCGGCAAAGGGTGGCCCTCCAGCTTGGGGGTTGGGCGTGGGGCTAACAACTCACCATAAAAAATCAATATGTTAGGAAAATGAACACAAAGCCTCGGACCTGGACTGATTCCTTGGATAAACGACCTAAGCTAATGAAAACATAAGAGAATCGTATCAGCAGTTAAGAGGGTAGAGTTCGTTAGTGATAGGATATCATATATAATACTAAAATGTCGCTGGTGTGATATCATTGTTATAAATGTTCACGCCCCAACAGAAGATAAAATTGTTGACATAAAGGATAGATTCTATGAAGAACTAGAACATGTATTTGATAAATTCCCAAAGCACCCTATGAAAATTTTGTTAGGAGATTTCAATGCCAAAGTAGGGAGGGAAGACATTTTCAAACCAACGATTGGGAATGAGAGTTTGCATGAAATTAGTAATGATAATGGAGTTAGAGTAGTAAACTTTGCCACATCAAAAAATCTTACTGTCAAAAGTACAATGTTCCCACATCGTAACATCCATAAATTTACTTGGACATCTCTTGATGGGAAGATACATAATCAAATAGACCATATTTTGATAGATAGGAGACGGCACACAAGTATACTTGATGTCCGATCATTCAGGGCAGCAGATTGTGATACTGACCACTACCTGGTGGTGGCAAAGGTTAGGGAAAGGCTGGCAGTGAGCAAGCAAACAACACACAGAGTTTGCATGGAGAGGTTCAATCTCAAGAAATTAAATGAGGTAGAGGGTAAAGAGCATTATCGTGTTGAAATCTCAAATAGGTTTGCGACTTTGGAAAACTTGGAAACTGAGGTGGATGTTAATAAAACTTGGGAAACTATTAGAGAGAATATAAAAATGTCTGCCAAAGAGAGTCTAGGTTATTATGAACCGAAGAAGCATAAGGCATGGTTTGATGAAGGATGCTCAAAATTATTAGATCAAAGAAAGCAGGCCAAATTGCAATGGTTACAGGATCCAAGCGAGTTAAATGGGGATAATCTGAACAATATAAGACGTGAAACCAGCAGGCATTTCAGGAACAAAAAGAGGGAATATCTGAAAGACAAAATTGATGAGCTTGCAATGAACAGTAAGAACAAGAACATTAGAGACCTGTATAGAGGAATAAATGACTTTAAGAGGGGTTACCAGCCTAGCAGTAACTTAGTGAAGGATGAGAATGGTGACCTGCTTGCAGATTCCCACAACATTTTGAATAGGTGGAGGAACTAGTTCTCTGTTATTGAATGTACATAGGGTCAGTGATGTTAGGCAGACAGAAATCGATACAGCTGAGCCGTTAATACCTGATCCTAGCCCTTTTGTGGTTGAAAGTGCTATTGCAAAATTGAAACTGTATAAATCGCCAGGTAGTGATCAAATTCCAGCAGAACTTATTCAAGCAGGAGGTGAAATATTACGTTCTAAGATCCACAATCTAATTACTTCTATTTGGCATAAGGAAAAATTGCCTGATCAGTGGAAGGAGTCTATTATTGTACCAGTTCACAAGAAGGGTGATAAAACTGACTGTAGTAATTATCGGGGGATATCACTGCTATCAACTTCATATAAAATTTTGTCCAATATTCTTCTCTCAAGGTTAAGTCCATATATGGATGAAATTATTGGGGATCATCAGTGTGGGTTTCGATGTAACAGATCAACTACAGATCAGAGCTTTTGCATTTGTCAGATATTGGAGAAAAAATGGGAGTACGATGAGACAGTACATCAGCTATTCATGGACTTCAAGAAAGCCTACGATTCAGTTAGGAGGGAAGTTATATTTTAGCGTCCTGTTACACTGATTCATGTCCATGGTTTATGCTGTGTACAGCAGATCCAGCAGTACAACGCATGCAGTAACAGGAGAAAAACACAACACAGAACACGATACACAAATATATGTAGGAGGAATGCTCACATAAAAGAGGATTTGCGTAATTCGCGTGTTTGAGTGCGACGTAGGAAGAATCCTGAAAAGTTTTATTATTAGAATTCATCGTCCTATATGACGAACACAGATTTTAGTCATTTTAGAATGGAGACATTGTGGCATGTAAATACAATAGTTAACGTGCATAAAGACACCTGAAGATGGCACATTAGTGCCGAAACATGTAGTGTGGAAGTGAAGAATAAGGTGAAAAGTGTATACACTGTAAGACGGTCAGCATAAACCATGGACATAGGAGGGAAGTATTGTACAAGAGTTTGGGATACCCATGAAACTAGTTAGGTTGATTAAAATGTGTTTAAACGAAACGTATAGTAAAGTTTGTGTAGGTAAACACTTGTCTGATAAATTTCCTATCCAGAATGGTTTAAAACAAGGAGATGCTTTATCGCCACTCCTTTTCAACGTTGCCTTAGAATATGCAATTAGGAAGGTCCAGGGAAGCCAGGTGGGACTGAAACTAAACAGGACACACCAGCTGTTGGTCTACGCCGATGGTGTGACTCTACTGGGTGATAATGTAGATACCATAAAGAAAAACACACAAACTTTAAATGACGCAAGTAAAGAGGTTCGTCTAGAAGTAAACACAGAGAAAACTAAGTATATGTTACTGTCTCGTCACCAAAATGCAGGGCGAAATCATGACATAAAGGTAGGAAACAGATGTTTTGAAAATGTGGCACAGTTCAGATATTTGGGAACAACGATAACAGATCAAAACCTGATTCAAGAGGAAATTAAGAGGCGATTGAACTCGGGTAATGCTTGCTACCATTCAGTCCAGAACCTTTTGTCTTCTCGTCTGTTGTCCAAAAACATAAAAATGAGAATATACAAAACTATAATTTTGCCTGTGGTTCTGTATGGGTGTTAAACTTGGTCTCTGACATTAAGGGAGGAACATAAACTGAGGGTGTTTGAGAACAGGGTGTTAAGGAGAATATTTGGACCAAAGAGAGATGAAATCACAGGAGGTTGGAGAAACTGCATAATGAGGATCTTCATAACTTGTACTCTTCTCCAAGTATAATTAGAGTGATCAAGTCAAGGAGGATGAGGTGGGCAGGTCATGTAGCGTGAATGGGGGAGACGAGGAATGCATATAGGATATTGGTGGGAAAGCCAGAAGGAAGGAGACCACAGGGAAGACCAAGGCGTAGGTGGGTGGACAATATTAGAATGGATCTTAGAGAGATAGGATGGTATGGATTGGATAGATCTGGCTCAGGACAGGGACCAGTGGAGGGCTCTTGTGAACACGGTGATGAACCTTCGGGTTCCATAAAATGCTGGGAAATTCTACAGTAGCTGCAGAATTGGCGGCTCCTCAAGAAGGGCTCAGCTCCATGAGTAAGTAAGTAAGCCACACTACTCCTCTCCTCTTATACAGCTGTGTTTACTCGACTGGATTCAGTCTGTTGCACCTGCTCTGCTGGTTCGAATGCGGATTTCTTGTCTTCTACCCTGAAGATGGTGGCGATACGTTCCTCCGAAACGTCGGTTAACACAATTTCTACACGGCGCCTCATCCCAGAAGACTGCTTTCTTCGGAATCTAGGAAGTTACGACGTAATGGGCACGTCAATCTTGCAACGCAAACTGGTTCCCATAATGTAGTATATATTGTAAGTTATATGGTGACAAGTTAATCTGCAAAAATGCTTTTGTAAAATCTTATTTTGTTATATCGCAGGTGTATATATATTTGAAATACTATTTATGTAGAACATCTCTGAGGCCTACTACTGAGCCCAGTTTCAAGGTATGTCATACGTTGAGTAGGCAACATTACGGAGGGAAAGTTCTGTTTCTTCAGCGAGATCGGTACTTACTAAAACTACTAAAGTATGGTGTTTATGATTTGCGTAACGTTGCAAATAGAATCTAGTGACTTTTCTTTCATGGTGGTAGGGCGATTCATATCGCGGTATTACAAAGACCTGACCTGACGGATATTTAAGGCGGTTTTGGGCGCTACAATGTTGAAGCAGATAGCTCGAGTTTATTCATACATTTCTTTTTTTAAATCATGTAAAATTCAGTTAGACGCGCATTTATCCAGTATGTGTTTGTCAGAAGGAAAAGGTGTAACATCGTTATAAAGTGCCAATATTTGGTGTTTTATGAACGTTTTCAGTAAATCATATGCCGTTGAATTTTGTTTTAATGTTGCAGCACATGCCAAATTTGTTACGTCTCGAATGAATTCTGATAACCGGATGTGGGCTCCAAACGCCAAAGACCACCTTGTATGGGTCGACATGGAGGTGATTACAAATTGAAGTCTCTTTTTGTTTGTGAAATGTTCAGAATATGGAAATGCCTATTTAAACAACTGATAAAACATCTGTTCTAAGTCAGTGCGAGTGAGGCTTGATTAATAGGTCAAAGTAATATATTCGATTAACATAGAGTAACTGTTATTGAGTTTTAACTTTATAAAATAAGTTATTAATGAAGCCTAATGATGGCTGTATCGACAGACATCTTCCATGTACTCTATAACAGTTTTGTTTCAGATGACTTCTTTGGATGTGACAGAAGGCCGCATTTTGGAAGTCGCATGCCTTATAACTGATTCTAACCTCAACATTATAGCTGAAGGCCAAGATTTAGTCATCCATCAGCCAGATGATGTATTACAGTCTATGAATGAATGGTGTATCGAACATCATGGAATGGTAAAGTAGCATTTTCTTAAATTCTGCCTTTAGTAAAGAATGGAATTTATAATTGATGTTATGGTGAGAATTGAGGTTTGCACAGAAGTGACTAAAAATATTACACTCTTTTGGTATTTGACACCACATATTTTGGTAGATACATACCAACTCTTGACCCTGAAGACTGTAGTAAACATGTTCCTCCTAAACAATGGGACGTATCTACCAAACTACATGGCCTCACATCCCAGAAGACTAATCTTTAATAGAGATTGTTTTATTTCAGTCAGGCCTTACAGATGCATCCAGAAACAGCAAGCTTACTATTGAAGAAGCTGACCAACAGATTCTGAACTTCCTAAAAATTTATATTCCACCAGGTAAGATGTCTGTTAACCTGAGTGAATACATTTTCAGTGACATTTTTTAATGCAGAAATGTTACAGAATGCATTTTTAATTGACTGTAGGAAAATGTCCAGTTGCTGGAAATTCTGTTTACATGGACCGATTATTCATGAATCGATACCTGCCAGAAGTTGACAAGTACTTACACTACCGCATTGTCGATGTGACAACAATTAAAGAATTATGCAGGTATGTCCGTCTGAAAGAGAGGAATTTTCTCTCTTTACTATAAAATCACAATGCTGGGCACAGTCATTGTAACAGTTTGCCAATAGGACACAACGTGAATGCCCTAGCTGCAAGAATTGCTAATTCTGCTAGTTGATGGATCTCCCAACTGCAGTCAGCCATCATGTTCCAGAAACCTGCATGTTGTATTTTTTAAATATTCAGTGTTATGATCAAATTGAATACATGGTGTCCGTAGTATTCACATAAAATTAATGAATGTGTGTAATGTGTGTCACCTAGCTAAGTTGAAATGGTTAATGACTGAGACTTGCTTTTTGTAAGAGGCCCAACTGATGCGAATGACTTCTCCCTTACATCTGATGATGGAGATAGATCCACTCTCCTAAACATTGTGTTTAAAAGCACAAGACTATGGACATTTGTCTAAAATAACAGTAACGTTTGTTAGTATAATGCTTTCATAGTGAGTGCAGTGGACTCTTTACTGAAGGTCATTGGCTGTAATGAACACACAGATAACTGCATGAAAGAATAAAACCACAATACAATAGAATCATAAACAGTGTAAAATTATCATTGGAAAACTGGCATTAATTTCTGGTCATTTTCAGACGATGGTCCCCAACAGTGTTTGCAAAGACTCCACCTAAGATTTTGAGCCATCGATCCCTGAGTGACATAAAAGAGAGTATTAAAGAACTGCAGTACTATCAGTCTTCTTTCTTCAAGATTTAATAGCCAGAACTACTGATATTGTCACGTGTATTAGCGACTATAGACAGGGTTTGGATTGGTGAATAGATTTATTAACACGTAAGATTTGAGGTTTTCACAGCGGTGACTATGAATAATCCTCTTCTGGGATGTGGTGCCATGTAGATGTTGTGTGAACTGATATTTTAGAGGAACGTATCGCCTCCATCTTCAGGGTAGAAAAATCTGAAAGCGAAGAACCAGGATGTGCAGGTGGCTGCAGTCTGCAGTCTGAGATACGTTCCTCTGACATGTCGGATCACACAAGATCTACACGGCACCACATCCCAGAAGGCAGCATTCTGATTTATTAACACCTTATACAATCAAACCATACTTACAAGCAATACAGCACCGTCACTGATTTACACAATTTATAGTTCACCATGACACATGCACTAGGGTCGTCAGTCTTCACTAGTCTATGGCCCTGGGGTCGACTCAGCCTTGTAACAGAATGAATACCAGGAATATTCTTGGAATGTTCTTGGGGGTATAAGGCGGCTGGTGTGTATGGCTGACAACCTTACCACCATCTATCATCCGATTGTCTAGAAAATGTGGAAACCTCAATATCTCACAACCTTATGGGCTTCCACGGCCTGTAAGGGGGATACTTTTACTTTACTTTAATTTTATCTCCTGACAACTGAACTGAACTCTCAGTTCCCGTATTGTCTTATATAGTCGTGGCACAGACCATGCAGCACAGAAAATACATGTCACAAGTCAGAATGCATGTCTATTGGCCCACTGGCCAGCACTGGGCATGGCACAGACCACATAGAAAATACCTCTTCTGTTGTCCCTTACAACCACCTGGTACAGACCACAGCAGAAAACATACTCTCCATTGTTGTGTGACATCACCACCTACACGAGAACATGCTTAGCACACACTGGATAGCAGTAGTCCCTGTGTGGACCACCGAAAACACTGCTCCTCTATTGTTGAGAATGCGAGTTATTGGCCCATTACTTAGCAGTGGGTCGATGTGTCACAATATGAATAAATTCGCAGGATATTCTTATAATGGGATAAAGTTAGCATAGACAGAAGCTGTAAGAAGTGTAAAAGTTGTGTGCAGTCTTTGTAAGGATGATGTCACTAACTGGAAGTTTATAATGCAGAGTCCGGAGTAGAAATCTCAAAATAAATCGGGAAAACAAATTTAAAATTTAGGCTTTTATTATCTGTAATGTTTGAGGGGTAGAAAAGTGACAGTAAACAACCCCAACAGTGAACTGTGTTGGGCCATAGGAATTGTCTGAAAGGTTTTTTATTCAGGTGCAACATAATTTTAACGTCAAAACTTTTCAAACTATTCCACAATATTTATTTAGTACATATACAGTTGCATACAATGTATCCTATCAACTAATTATAACATCTAAGATTAATTTACAGGAAAATATCTTTCAAGATCACTTGACAATATAAATTTTAAAGCAAGTTTGATAACCTGTTAGTAGAAAGAATTTAAACTACTCAAGTATCTTACAATGAAGCAAGATATGCTGTGAAAATAACAGAGACTGCAAGTACAGAATATCCTGTCAAGTATACTTCCTTGATTGTAAGAAATTTACCCATGTCCCAAGCCTGTAAGAAAGAACATCCCAATTAGTTTTACAAGGCATACAAAAAGAAACACAACAGCATCAACACAGTAGAGTATAAGCCCCTTGTTGAATAATTCACTCCTCTACTTTCCTTCTAAGGACAATAAATGTACATTAGTCCACCAATTGCTGGTCATTGTAGCCGAGAGGTCCAAGGCATGTACTGTCTTCGCTCGCTTGGAAACCGGGATAATGGGTTCGAATCCCACTTAGGGCATGGATGTTTAGTATGTGTGTGTGTGCATTTCTCTATGTTTGTGTACAGGTAGAGGCCTTGTGATGAGCTGATCACCCACCCAAGGAGTCCTACCGAATGTGTAAGATCTAGAAAAACCGAAGTGAACAGAGAAGTTCGTGGAGGTAGGCCTAGGTCCACTGGGGCTGTAGTGCCAAAGAAAGAAAGAAAAAAAAAAGCACCAATTACATAAAGATTTATGTATGCCTCGTTAAGTTGTCTTCAGAAACAAGTAATTTCCTCTAGGGAAGGGAATATGTGGGAGGGTATTACTACAATTGAGTTTAGGGAAGTGGGTGGTGAAATTGAGAACTCGATTAATCTTAGGAGGTTTAAGTTTTTTTTTTTGTAGTGATTATGCAAATTATTGTCTTCTGGGATGTGATGTTATGTAGTCTGGTAATCTTTACCAATGCTTCTGAGGAACATCATGAAAGGTCTACCAGACTGTGAAGTGTTGCATCCAGAAAGATTTTGATTAATCAACTCAGAATCCACTGGCAGGCATCTGTGATGGTGATGAGTGTATGGATTTCATAATTTGCATTTTATACTGATCCAGGGACATAAAAGTAACCATTCTCTTCATTCTGAAAGCATTTCTTATTTACCAGAACCCCATTACCCCACAGTTCCGATTGGGCTTTCTCAACATCTGTGGCAATACTGTGTATCACCCCAATAGGCAGTTCCCTACTTGATGTAACCCTCCTCTGACAGCACAGATACTGGAGTCAGGCTCAGACAGGCAGTTAACCATACTATGATTCTAAATGTACATCATCTTGTTCAAGCTGAGAGGCATGTAGATGGGCTGCACTAGTGCCAATCTTATAGACATCAAATCTGTATAGTTATTGTGTTACATAATGATACCACAAAGCTCAGAAGACATCTGGCATCATGAAGAATGATACTCACCAAGTGTCTGATTCCATTTGCATAATGATAGCAGAAAGGAAATGCAAGGGTTGCCTTTACTATCAGAAGTAATGCAGGACTCAGATGCATATTTTCAAGTGCAGCCAAATTTTCTGAGAAATGGCCACTTGTGAAAAGACCACCTAATATGAAATAAAACTGGCATTAGAAGTATAAGGGTGCAGTACAAAATAATATGCAGTCATGAATGTGATCTCCCTTATTCTTAGTAAGCTGACACTGCTAACTGTGCAACATCCAAGGTATGGTGGGTGCTTCCAGCTAGGGTTGGCACAAGCAATGAGAAACCTCCAAATTAAAAGCAGCTCAGCTTCCTTGAAATGTCACAATAACATAACATTCCAAGGCAATGTGGTGACCCCCCCCCCCAGCATAAGGATTCTTCAAATGGCAGCCCGATAACAGTAATAAAAGATGGTGTCATCTGGTCACCACACTCTGTGTTGCTGCCCATCTAAGATCACAACAGTTACATGTTTATGTGGCTGCCAATTAATGGTCCCAATGTAAACAATACAAATTAAATTACATTTAAAAAAGCCAGAAAGGGGGATGTAAAATCTGCCACCCTAGGTGGTCATGATGGTCCTACTTGCAACACATGAAATTGGGATTTCAGACACTCATAATTACAAATTCATTTATAATGTCTTGTGCATATAAAAAACAAAGAATGCTGTTAATATATTTCTATATCCAGTAATATCCAAGTAGAAGTAACTCTGTCAGTAATGCTACGTATAATCTTACCTATTCCCCATACAGTTGCAATGCCCCCTAATGCCATGCCAGTTGCCCTGTGTGTCAAGGACAGTAAAGAAGTTAACTGTAGTTTGTATATGGTTAGATGAGGTGACTGAGGACGACCCAGTCTTGCATTCTTAGCAGCAAAGTCTTCATTCTCTCTTTCAGCGGCAACATTTGACACGCTAACAGCTGGAACTTTTAACCTGTGAGGAAAAGATCAGGGTATCCTAGTTCACTTACAGAAGAGGTGATATTTGTTCATAGAAGATGAAAATCTGAAGGAAAGACGACAGGACAACATTAAAATCAGTTGTGGATTATGAACATGGTAGGTGGACTGACTGACTCAAACACATCTTCAGTGGGAGACTTATTAGCAGTGTTGAATCTTTGGGTTTTATAACCAGAGACTTGTTACTGGTGGTAGTAAGCTGCATCTGAAATGAGGAACATGGCTTCAAAACTTTAACATTAACAGCCACAAGACTCAGTACTATATAAGAAAACTAAACTTCCTTATATTAATTCCAGTAAATTTATGGATCAAATGTGAAAGTCCCAAAAGCAGAATGTACCTGCCAGTCAGATGCATCACAGAAGAATCAACTGATGAGAGGAACAAGTAAGAGTGCTAGGAAAAACCCTGCCACAGTGTGTTACAAATTTTACAGATACCCCCAGGAATTTTACATCAGCCACAGCAGTATCAAGCCAACCACATGTACTATGGTATGATTTTAAGTTAAAAAAAAAATAGTAAAGCTATCCCTGTAACAGCCTGTGAAGGCCCATAGGGTTGTGAGACGTTGAGGCTCCCACATTACCTAGACAGTCACCTCAAAGATGGTGCTAAGTTTGTCAGCCATACACGCCGGCCACACTTTACTCCCCAGGAAAATTATTTAATTAATTCCTGGTACTCATTTCTGTTACAGAATGAGTCAACCCCAGGGCCATAGTGCGACTGGAAGGATTAGGTGAATTGGAAAAAATCCAATGACCTCATCGGGACTTGAACTCGCGACCTTCCAGCTTGTACAATAGTGCCTCAACCAACTACGCTACCGTGTGCTCAGTACTCATGATAAATAAGTAACATTATTTTACATACTGGAGATTTCATTCCTCTAGTTTTCATTTCTGGTCACTTTAATGGTACGTTCTGTTTCAGTTGCATAGATTAATATAGCATGAAACTGTAGGGTGGTACATGAAGGTTAAATTCAGAAGGATATGTAAGGAATTTATTGTGATCTTTAAAGCATATTCTCAGCAGTTGCCCGAAAGAAATGCCGACTACTTGATCAATATTCAGCAGAAAGAAATTGCATAATTTATTAAGCTGTACTCCTAACAAAAGAACATGAATGAGAGTGATTTCCAAAACACCTGCAGTAATATTGAGCTTTCATGGTATGGTAAACAGAGCATATGATTTTTGGCCAAGTGTAATTTTATCCATCCAGTTTACATAAAATATAAACATATTAACTTAGTCCCACTTTCCAAGATGTGGTTTTCACTTCATCCACATATTGAATTTTTGTCATTTATCAAGAAAACGTGTAATTTAATCCCTTGTCATCTAATATGAGTGGCATAGTGTTAATTTAAATTAGTGTGCTGTTAAATTTTGGGTTCATACAGCTGTGATTATGATTGTCTCCTAAGGTTTGCCACCATATAGTTTGGCAGATATGTATCGCTTTACCAAAGTACACAGCATTGCAGGTCACAAGACAATACCATTTAATAACAGTGCTGGTCTACCTTAGGAAAAGTGACAAAACTGTAACTATTTTTGCCATTTTATGATGCCCAAGAACCAAGCTCAGCTAATCACAATGTAAGTGAAAGTATTTAATAACCAGTGATATTAAACACAAGTGAGTCTTTAGGTAAAACAGTTTCCAGAAATATCCCTGAGGAAAAGTTTTCTGCTGTCACTATTAAACTGTCTTCTTTTAAGTCAAACATAGAGCAATAAAATAAACTGAAAGAAAATTTACTGTCATTATTCTCATATGGTGCATTAACTTAACATCCTAGTATATTTTTTAATTGCTGAGAGATTAAAAGTTAGTAGTATTAAAATAAATATGACTTTCTGACTTGGAAAGTAGAGCTTTGCATAATTTGGCAACATATATATATATATATATATATATAT